TTCCTTTCTGGGTCTTTTTTTTCTCTCCAAAATCATCCCCAATGCCCACACCTTGCCCTCAAACATCCGCTTCAGAACCAATATGCTTAGGTCTCCGATCCAATGTTTCAATGTGCTCACTGGTGATCCCAAGCCTCAAACCGTGACGAAACGAACATGAAATAAGTCCATAACTATACATCCTGCACAATAGCAAGTTTAAATATTCTCGGGCCCCCGTCTCCTGGCCGCCCTCCAGCTTCAAGGCCGCCGTATCGCCCCTCTTGAAGCCGCCCATGGGGTCGTCTATCTTCAAATCCCGCGTGTACGCCATCGCTTTTCTCGTCTCGTAGAATGTCTCAGGCCCTTCCATGTCCAGCGGATCGGTATGAAGGCGCTTGGATCGGCGCCTGGCATCTTCCACGTGGTCCAAAAACGACGTCGAATCTTGCGAAGCCTCGATAACACCACTGGGCGGCTTTGCATCAGGACCGGAGTCATTGATCCAATGCTTCTTCCTCTGCTGCCGAAGGTGTATCTCCCCTGGATCTCGCACGCGGACTTCGGGGTGTAAAGGGTCCCTTCCAATGGCCACCGTGAGGCCCTCCGACAGCTGCACTCGGTTGTCTGCCGAAAAGCCTGGCAGTTGGCTGCCCGCTCGCACTGACATCCTCGCCCTGTCCAGAAAACTATCTACGGGATGGACAATACAGCCTCGAACCAAGGTGATAGCAATGTTAGAGTCGCCGTCTGTGATGGCGATGACGACTGCACTCCCGCCAGCCCTTGGTGGTTTAGAGTCCCAACTCTTCAGCTCCCTTCTTCCCCTTTTGTTGGGGGAAAGGGGTTGTCACTGCCTCTTCTTTGGAATTACCCCGCCCCCCACTCGACTGACCGCCGACCAGGAACAGTGTAGGAGAGCCCAGAATCGGATCGAAAAGTCGGATCGGCGATCGACGTGAATCGGATCGACGGATATCGGCAGCCGAGTTGGGAAAAGTCGAATCGGCAGACATCGGCAGGCCAGTAGGCCTCCAATGAGACATCGGATCCCAAATCGGCATCCGAAATCGAATCGGATCGGAATCGGCACCCATCGGAATCGAATCGAATCGGCGGCATCGACACGAGCCCTGACAACGAGCCCTCCCCTGCCGTCCCTGTCGAAAACACGTGGCACACGCGCGGGCGCCCCGCGATCACCGTGCACAGCCACGCGGGGGGAGCAACTCCGCGACGCCAGCGCTGGGTCGGGCATGCCCCCCTGCGGGCGGATTCTGGAGGGAGAATGAAGCATCCCCCCCCCAAAATGCCCAAACATACCCAACCATAAGCAAAACAAGCATCGCCCCCAGACTTACTTTGTCTGTGTTGTAATACTCACTCTTGAAGATTCCTCCTCGCGCCGTCGTCGTCGTCGTCGTCGTCGTCGTCGTCGTCGTCGTCGTCGTCGTCGCGTCGTCGTCGTCGTCGTCGTCGTCGTCGTCGTCGTCGTCCGACCGCCAGCGGCGCTGGCGAGGGCGAGGGCGGGGCCCCTCCCCCCCCCGAAGAAGCCGACCGCGGCAGCTCGCCCGGAGCCGCGCCGGCGGACACCTCGGGCAGCGCCACGCCACAGAAGGCAGCCCGCAGCGGCCCTCCTCGTCCTCCCCCTCCTCCTCCTCCTCCTCGTCCTCCTCGTCCTCCTCCTCCTCCTCCTCGTCCTCCTCGTCCTCCTCCTCCTCCTCCTCCTCCTCCTCGTCCTTCTCCTCGTCCTCGTCGTCCTTCTCCTCCTCCTCGTCCTCGTCGTCCTCCTCCTCCTCCTCCTCCTCCTCTCCTCCTCCTCCTCCTCCTCGTCTCCTCTCCTCGTCCTTCTCCTCCTCGTCCTCGTCGTCCTCCTCCTCCTCCTCCTCCTCCTCCTCTTCCTCCTCCTCCTCTTCCCTCGTCCTCCTCTTCCTCGTCCTTCTCCTCCTCGTCCTCGTCGTCCTCCTCCTCCTCCTCCTCCTCCTCCTCTTCCTCCTCCTCCTCCTCTTCCTCGTCCTCCTCTTCCTCCTTCTCCTCCTCGTCCTCCTCCTCCTCCTCCTCCTCGTCGGGGCGGCGGGGCCCGGACCCGGGCCGCTCAAGCGGCGCAGCGCCGCCGTGCATCGCAGCAGTCAGGACAAAGTGGGCACACGGATGCAATCACGACAGCGTGCATTGCAGTCGACCCGTACACCCTGCGAAATGCTTAAGAAATCATGGGTTAAGAAATTCATAGTCTCAGAAATGGAATAAAACCCAGAACTTCTATCAAAATCTTGGGATTTACATTGAAAAGTTAAGAATCATCGAGACTCTGGCCGAAAACTACAGTTTTCTTAAGCATCGCCTAGGGTGTATGATTAGGATGCGCGGTAAGGATGCAAAGGCCTTGGAGGGCCAAATTGGCCTTTTTCGAGCGAGATTTGCCACGGAAAGCCGCTAAAGAGGGGCCGGAAGGGGCAAGGATGCAGGGGTACCCTTGGGAAGGTCGCCCATCCTTGCTGTGTGGGTTGACCGTATTTGACAGAGATGGCGAGGGTGTCAAATGCCAATGCGAGCTGACTGCAGATGCGCTTGCCAAACACCATGCTGGCCACCCCACCGCCACTTTGCACTTACCTCTGACAAATATCGGCGGCGCGCCAAGGGGGAAGTGACAGGGGGCGGGCCTTCCCAGAAAACTCGGAAGTCCCCCGGCCTTGTGAGAAATTGTCTGAGCCTTCCCCGAAGACACCGGACATTTCTCAGAAGTTGCGAGGGTTTCTGAGAAGCGCCGCCGCATTCTGAGAGGGCCTTCTTCTTCTCACTTCCTCCCCGCGCTCGCCGACAAAAGAAATGTTGTGGTGTGGACATGTTGCCCAATGTGTCCTGTCACGTGAACTTGCGCACCCGTCGCCCACTGGCGCTCCCAGCGCGCACCGCGCACGTGGCGCACCTCGAGCACGTGGCGCCTGGAGCATCCGCTGCACCAAGCGCGCCTGGCACGCCTGGGCCCCTGGGTCACCTGGCGCACCTCGTGCACTTGGCCCATCTGGCACGCGTGGCGCACCTCGCAGGCGTCGCGCAACTGGCGTCCGTGTTGGCTCCCGATGGCTGCACGCCCTGTGGCGACCTCTGCCCATCCTGAGCCTCGGGTGCTCATGGCGGGAGAGCGGGTGGGAATGAGCGAGACAACTTGTGGCGCTCCCGTTGTGGCGCTCCCGTGGGGAACTTGACATCTCCACGTACCCCGTCGCCTGGAAAAGAGTCCGTTCGGACTCAAACCGGCTCCAAGATTGCCCAGACATCCCAAGATGGCCTCCGAGATGGCGCGACATAGTTCAACAAGGCCGAAGACTGTATCCAATCTGCCTCCAGGAGGCCATACCATGCTTCCAAGATGGCTGCAAGGGGCTATAGATCCTCCCAGGGATCCATTCAATTAGCAATCACCCTTGAAAAGCCCTGTGCTTCTTTCCACTGGTCTTGGGCTTCCCGCCGTCTCGTTTCTGATGGGCTTACAATGTGCCAAGATGCCTCCAATATCGCCCAAAGAGAGCCCAAAGGAGGGGCTCACAAGGGCTCTTATGTGCCCTCTAAGGCCAGGGGCACATCAAGAGAGCCCCAAGAAGGCCCGAAGAGGACTTTTCAGCATCCGACAGGTCAGGTCAGGTCAGGTAGAGCTTTGCCCACGATGGTGCGTGAGCAAAGGAAAAATGGAGAACAGACGAATGCCTTCAACATCCTCTCCAAGTTCTGACGTCCCGCTCCCACTCGCATGCTGCTCCGCTCTCTGGGCGGACATAGTCAGCGAGACGCGGGGGACAGGGGGGCCTGAATTGACGAAGCCGCCCCGGCCATAGAAGAAGTTCTGGCAGGGGAATGTGAAACACATACTGATGCGGCCTTTACTTGTTCCATCGCATATTCCTGCAAACTCGGGTCAAAGCACCTCGCCTAGACATCGCTGCTGGGCTGATGGGATACGCAAACAACATGTAAAACATTGTACGCGTGAAACGTGACTCTGAACTATCGTTCTCGAATTACTGATTCGATAACCCTAGTCCTTATCCGCAACAACCTGATTTTTCGTTCGCACATTGCAGCATCAGAGCCGAGGGCGCCCCACGGGAAGCTTTTCGATGTTGCGGACTTGTCAGCGTGAAACCAGCAGGACCATCAACTGACCAATGCCAAATAATTCGATTATCGATAAGGCGCTTCGTTAACCGCCATACCCAGAATCCCCCTCGCGGATGCAGCAATAATGCTGGTGCAATACGACGAAGCCCGCCGAGCCACCCCCATTGTCTTCTTCTTTTGAATGGTGGGGCTCATCCTTCATGTACCGATGTGTTCCTTCTCCCTTCCATCCTTCTTCCTCCGACTTCTGATGGGAGGGCGGTGCCCTTATATCTGTGATTGTGGCCGTGGTCTACGGCGCACGAGCAACAACGCCCGCTGTGCAGCAAAAAGGTGGCGACCTGCACTGTCGGTGCGCGAGCGATGCTGACTCATGGCGGTTGGTGACGATGACAAGAGCTCGAGCAGTAGATGGCGTGAGCATCGGACACTGGGGGGGGGGTAATAGCGTTAGGTCGGGCATGTCCTCCTACAGGCGGTTTTGGACAACAGATGCAAGATCGTAGACGAATGTTCAAAGGTAGTCAGAAATAGTAAAACAATCGTCCCCAGACCATTTTGTGATCATTTCTGAATACTCTTCCCGTAGAGGGGCATGCCCGACTTCACAAATAGCGAGCTCTATCTAGAAAGGGATGAGCGTCGGCGAGAGGGCGAAGGCACCGGGCATCCGACGACTCCCAACGACCAGGATCGCCTCTGGACTGCGCCCTGAGCAGCAACGGCCGACAACGACGACCACGACGGTGACGGTGCTTCCGAGCCAGGGGAACGAACAATGACATCAACATAATAACTCGGAGGTCCGCGAGGATTTCTCGCATCGGCGCTGGACCCCCTGGCGGCGCCTCCAGCGCCGCCCCTGGCGCGCTCCGCGTGCCAGGGAGGGGGGTCCAGCGCCGTTCCGAGGAATCCGCGCGGACCTCTGAGTTTTTATGTCTATGTCATTGTTCGTTCCCCTTTGAGCTCCGCCGGATGGCGACGCCGACGACCACGCCGCTGCCCCGCGCTGCCAACGCCGACGCCGACGACGAGGAGCTGCCGATGTTGCCGACGCCGCCGACGCCGACGACGTCGACGACACCGACGCCGCCGACGACGCCGACGCCGACCATGCCGACAACGAGAACGCCGCCGCCGACGACGACGACAGCCGGACACCCCGAGCTCTCCCTGGACTTGTTCTAGCAGAAAGTAAACGGGTCTTGGACCTGTGGCCCTTCCCCCCAGGACCAACGTTCCCGGGGCCCAAGGGGGCCAGAACGGAGGAACACTTCAGGATCCGTTCTTCAGGACCCCGCTTCTTCATATCCACCGATCGGATTTCTTCCATGCCCGGCCCCGACATGGCCGACCCCTTCCCCAAGCCCAAGCTGTCACCCCAAATCTAATCTTCATGGTCCCAGGGCCCGATAACGGGCCCTGGAGGCCCAAATGAGGACAAACCGCCGGTTGAGCAAAAACATATGGTCGGAGGTATCGATGCCGCCACTCCCTGGACCCCTCTTGGGATGCGGTCTGTTCAGACTTTAGCAACGGATGCAGCCGTGGCGGCGAGGACCTCCCAGGAGGCCCCCCAAAGGCAAAAACGGTGCCCAAATTGAACACCGCCGGCTGAACAAACTATGTGAGCGCTTTCTTCGTCGGCGTTTCGACGTTGGGGGGAAGGGGGGAGGGGGGGAAAGGGGGGATGGCCTGGCTCTGGACCTCTGCTTCGTGCGACTGTTTGCAACCGTGCGTCTTATGTGGGGGAGACTCCACCTGCTGGAGACGGGCGCCAAGAACAGCCAAGATCCACTCCATGGGGAGGGCCAACGCC